CCAAAAACTTAAAGGAGGAATTTAAAAAAACTACTAAAATGTGGCATTTTTGTTCACTGAGATTTCAATCATCAGCTGGCACACAGATATAAAAGAGGCTTTGCCAAAAAAAAAAAACCAGGGCAATATAATTTAAGATTCAGGAGAAGCATATGACATTAACTAGTATACCAATGTTCTCACCTGAATTCAATCTGGAAAGAAAACTTTGCAACACTTCTGTTTTATCTTCTCACACTGCAATTACTACCGAAATCACTAAACTGTTAGCACCCCAGAAAAAACCATCGATTGCATTTGAATTCTGGGCTTGCTCAAGTGACCATTTGGAGACTGATCACGTGGTATTTTCGCGCTTCGCTCCTGTTTTCCGAACCGGGGTCAGCAATATGGTTGTGTACTAAGTTAAGGTCTATACGGACCAGATTTTTGAAAAATGCAAAACTTTTTTCACCTCTTCGACGGACGATTTCAGTTATAACGGATTTGTAAGGAGAGTGAAAGAGATAACCGAAACATTTCAGGATTTAAGTTGCGATCAAATACGAGTTCGCTGTCTTGACGATGAAAACTGTTACGTGAACTTGGAGGAAGTCGTCACTAGGAACGGTTCCGGCGTGTCCGGGATGTCCCTGGAACAAACTGGAAGAGAATCAATGTTCAGGCTGAAGTGTGGTATTCCCCTGCACCACCAAAGAAGAGAAAGAAAGAATTTGAAACTGAGATTCAGCAACCCACTTCTGAAGATGAACAGCAACTTACAACCACATCCATTGGTCAACAAAGTGAGCACTATACATCACCCGTTGAAAATCTTGTTCGTTCTAAAGAAGAGCAGATTCGAAAACAAGAAGCACAAGGCACAATATGCACATTAACATGCAACATATTTTATATTAAAATACAGATGAGTAATAATAACAATTATTATAACTTTATTTACTTAGGGTGACACATTACAGTTAAGAGCTGGTAAACGTGTGACCCTCCCTTTCTTGAGTGCAATTACTGCTTGCTGTGTCAATCCATGATCAGTTTCTTAAGGACCAAAATCTGCTGACTTATTCCTATCAACTCTGTGGGAAGAATATTTGAACTCGTGATTCTTTCACTCTTTGCCAAGTGCGTTGAAATTATTTTGGTATTGCACCACATAAATTTGGCACCTGAAAATGAAGAATTCAAGATATATTTAGTAAACAAAGTTACAAAATTAAGTCGGTTATTTACTGAAAAAGTTTTTCATGTCCCAAAGATTCACTCAGTCGCAGCAAATATCTGATTATAATGCTAAGGTCACTGAAGCAAGAGCAAAATTTCCCACACACACATGGTAAACAAGTCAGACAGTAATGATTACACACAGACTCGGAGCTAATCGAAAGGTACAAGGGTTCGCTCATTTTAGTAATTAAACGCGAAATCTCAACAAGTGGAAAAATCCTCCTTCCGAGCGTGTTTCAAATCCATCAGCTAAAACTGATTACATGTGAAGAAAATCACTTGAAACTGCTGACTGATCGCTCTCTCCAAAACGCTTTACAATAAATAAAACACTTTTTTCATCAACCAAAATATCAAGTGCGAGAATAAACTTTGGGTGAAAATTTTCTGACGTCTGCAAGCTATTAATTTCTTTTGTCCACGACAGCTCAGAAGAGGACGCCACGTTACTTGCTCCAGTCTGTTATTGATTCATTTTTGGTGTGACATTTGTTACCGCTCACTCAGTTTCGTCTATTTGTGTACGTTATAGATTGACGAAAAATGTAATATCTAAGTCACCTATTTAAAATATTTTTCATTTGCAATAACTCTCGTTCCCGCCTTTTTTTATGACATAAATCTTCTCGTGTTTTTAGACGCCTCACGTGTTCATAGCGCTGCTCGCAGCGCGCGCAGCGTAGCCCCGTAATTATCCGAAATAGTAGTAACCCATCAAGCCGAAAAAATTTGGACTTACGACCGTGCGACCGTACGACCGACCGTACGACCGACCGTACGACCGACCGTACCATGAGCTACTTTTAGCATGCGCTGCCAAGTGTATTGCAGGCACGTTCTTAGCCATTATGTAATGGAAAGGCAAAGATTGAAAAAGGGTCATCAACAAAGAGAAGCGAAGCACAAAGGATCCGAGAGAGAAAGGGAGGAATGTCGCGTCTAATCTGGGTTTTCTCTAAAGCTGAGGCCCAGAAAAATTCAAACCTTTTTTCCCAATCTTCGTTTGATACCAGCTTCAGTTTATAATTCAAATCACGTTTCGGTAAAACAATAACTTTTGCATTCATCGCTTTAAAATCCTCGCGCCCGTTCATCGCTCGAATAACATTTCAAAGTGTTCGTATTCTTCAAATTACTTCTTTACCTACCTTTTGGAATGTTTAATACAGTCGTGGTGTTTAGGGAAAAGAAGTTATCTTAGGGATTATGTTTTGCCTAGAAAGTTTCAAATTGATAGCGAACGGCGTAAGCAAGTCTCTATCATTCTCTCTTCAGTTGGCTATGGCAAGGTTTATGTTATATCTATTTAAAAAATCGTGCTTTGTCAAAGGTTCATTGTTTTACCCTAAGAACGAAGTAATAGCCTTTCCCAAAATTGAATTATAATGAGATTGAGTCAGCGATATTCATGTTTACATGAAGTCTGACGCGGTAATTTAATTTTGAAAATATTGTCATATGAGAAGCCGTCAAGCATCTGAGAATTAAATTACCGAGCGCAATTGTGAGGAGCAAACAAATTCACGGGTAAAATGGTATTAATCTTGCAGCGGGAGGAGTGAATTTCATTGTTTGGTCATGGTACTTTTCAGTGCTATGTTTTCATGCTTTCTACTTGATTCGTTCGAACTTGAAGAAATGGTTTGTTTCACAAAACATGGCGCCACCTTCTCTTCGCTCAACAGCTCGGGGGAACTTAATGCTCGGGTTATGATGAACATCTCTGAAATTGATAGTCATCACATTTGCAAGAGGCGTCCGAGCTGTGATCGTGAGCGGGGTCCTGGCGATTTGAGCCCACAAGCACGCTGGTAAGCACATGGTTAGCGTAAATAATTCTAGTGTACAGTTTTCGAATTCGAGAGCAGTTTTTGAGAGTCCGTATCTGTAACCTTCCTGGATATTTTCTGTTGAATTCATTGAGGAACAATCTTGGAATTTCATAAGTAATTATGAACGATAAATTCGTATTGACACCATAATTTTGGAGAGTTTTGTTGACACATTAGCTTACAATTCGTAAACCTAATCTAATAGCGGTCGTATTGCAATAAAAACTCTTGTAAAGTCGCCATGACTCTTACTTCGCGAGATAATCATCTCAAGGCTGGAGCTTGCGCCACCTGTGGTCAAACGACGAGTCTGCGCATGGAGATCAATCTCTGTTGGCTGCGCGCCAAGATTGAACCAATTTCTTGACCAACAATTCAAAGGAAGAAACAATCACCGTCACGCATAATATGGGGAAATGGAAACCTCCATAGAACTCTGTGAGTAGTCCATTTTACAGCTTCGTGCTTTGAACAGGAGTGAGGCTAAGGTGACCTTGTTATGATACAAACCAAGCTGCTTTTCAAATGTAAATTATTTTGTTATCATGCTAACTAGATACTGGTCTCTATTTCAACACGGTCAGCTTCTACCTCACAATAAATTAGAGGCTTGGCAGCTGAGTACACAACTATAAAATGGCCTATTGAAACAAAAGTATGGAAAACGAAAACTTGAGAGTTTCGTTCTCAAGCCTGTTTGCTAACGGATATCCTGATAATTAACCATTTTGTTTTGAGCTTTTATCAAAAAAAGGCGTACGCGTTTAAATAAGCGTGACTCACTAGTTTGATTATAATTCCTGCTAGACAATTTAATTTGGTTTTCACAGCCTGAGAGCGCTCCAGCTAGCCACCACAAGGTTCGCACATGCGTAACAGTTTAAAGGCTGTGGCCGCTGTTTCCTTGGGTGCCGTTAGGGGAAGAGCACGGGCTCATTTCTCGAGCAACGCTGGCGTTCGAGACTACGAAAAATATTGAACTTTGTGTTGCATGATAAAGCACTTCGTACGTATAAAAAAGTGGCTATCAAGTGGAGGGAGGGAGGGAGGGAAGGGCAAATTAGGAAATTAAACATGGTGCAAGTGATTTTAGATTTTCAGTCAAATGAGTTCACATCGCAGTTTCAAACAAGATCAGACAGACGCTTTCACAGTCTTATGTCAGCTGCACATGGCTTTTTAATGTGAAACTACTCCTGAATCTATGGAAATAACAGATCTTAGCGACAAAGGGCATATTTAGAAAGTCTCAAATACACGATACAACCCTCACCCTTCATTTACACTGACCGAGCTAATTGTTCACTTAATTCTTTCTTTACAAGAAAATAGTATACTCTTCCCTGTGATATCTGTAGTTCTCAGGTTTTGGTTAAAAGGCCGCAGGTTTTCGTTGTTAAAAAATAGTGCAATTATATCAGACGGGGTGAAAGTACTTTCTTCAATACCGCTTAATTCGTTGACCAGTATCTCTCGATACAGCGTTTTTCGATCGAGTGTCGTACAACAAAAACCAAAGTTATCACAAAGATCTATCAGAAGAAGAGAAAATACCCTAAGGATTTTATGCTAAACCAAGCAACTAACTGCCCAAAGCGCTGACAAACGCGGGTAACTAAGTTTTAGTTTTGCATCTGTATGATGGACGGGCGTAGCGCAAGGTTTTTGGACTAATCACACCGCGAAGTAAAGCAAATCCGTAGCAATATCGTACTGCTATCGACACTAAATTGAAAATGGTGTTAAACCATTTGCTATCGATTATTTGGAGTTCACTTTTGTACAAGCGTTTGGTTCGCTACTTCCCTGGTAGAGCCTGCTACAGACAGCCCTTCAAACAAGTTCTACTGTGTCTCCAGTATTACGGGCCATCTCTCGTTCTTCATCTATAGCGGCGAAATTCTCCTTTCGCTTCTTATTCCCTTCGTCGGAAGGGGCATTGCATAAAATAGGTTTTGCCAGAACCTCTTGCTTTTCGCCACTAGATAGGTGTCAGAGCGCAGGTAATTCTGTATCTCTTTATCCAACTGGTTGGTGTCCACATCTTCTAACAATATCAAAATCAGGTACTTCATGCGATCCTCGATCACTTTGCGATGAGCGGCACGAAACTCCATCAAACACCAATCACTTGTAGCATAGCTCGAAGAAAGCACCACTAACATACGCTTGCTTTGATCAAGGCTTCTCCATATATTTTCCTCAATTGGAACTCCAGGCTCAAAGTCGCGGTGGTAAATGCACAGTTTATAAGGAGGATCGTGTGTTTCAAGACGTCTCTGTAATGTGTTTACGGCCCAGTCTACATCATTGCTACTGAACGATACAAAAGCGTCGTATATTTTGTTCGGATCCGAGTCATCTATACGATCAAACGGGTGCCAGTTAAAGTGGGTGAACATAAAGACCTTGACTTCTCCATTGTACTTGTATATTAAGGCAGCGACAATCATTACTAAGGCTAGGAGCGTACCGAGAATAGATGAGGCTATTATTCCTGCATTTTTTTCTTTGAGCTGAGGAAGGCAGATGAACTGATCGTCTGGCAAACCGTACATTGGCTTCCCATGAACATGCTTAGAGTTACAAAGAACTCTTTCAATGTTCTTTATCCGATTCCTTTCCTTCAATAGCCAGTCTTTCATCCACTTGGTTGTGCAGTCGCATTTGAATAAGTTTCCATCCAATGCTAACGTTGTGAAATTAAGAGTCTTGATTTCCCTCGGTAAAGTTGCCAGTTGGTTAGCATCAATAAGCAAGATCTCGATATTCTCGAGTCTCTCCACTGTGGAAGCCGCCAGCGACTTAATTTGGTTATTGGTCAATCTTAATATGGTAACATTAACCATGTATGGATAAGCTGGAACGCTCTGAATAGCATTGGCTTCTAGGTTAAGCTCCACCAGACCCTGTGGCACCTCTCTTGGTACTTCGGTAAGATTCCTCCTTTCGCAATCAACAATCATTCTTCCATCTGAGCAGCGTTCCAGGCAGATGCATTGGACTGGACATTTGGTATTGCCTTGTTCTTCTCTTTTCATCCACTGATTTTCTTCAATCTCTAGTATCATTCTGTTTTTCAATCTTTGTGGCCAATGACATTTCCAAGTTGAAAACCTGGATCGAATGTGAGGACGGCTCTGCACCAATTTCTTTACTTCTTGCGCCACAGCAGACATAATGCAATCACAAGCCAGCGGATTTCCATTCAGTTTGATCGAATATAAGTTTCAAAAGGTAAAGATACTTGGCTTGATAGATTGGATTAATTCTTTCTTCCCGTTTAATCATTTTTAAACCATCGGAATCTATTAGTGTGGTAATGTTATTTCCCGACAAATCAAGGTCTCTGAGCTGTTTTGTTTCGCCCTCGACCGGTACAACTAAACTATCTAATGCCTTGTCAAGATCCTGAAATTTTAATCCGTTAGAAGAGAGGTTGATAAGCCTCATGTCCGGCAGAAGAAATATCCACGAAGGGATGCTGGAAAGTCTGTTGTTGTCGAGGTACAGCACTTTCAAAGAGGCATTCTTTGAAAAAGGATTTTCTTCGATTTTTCTGATGTTGTTAATACCCATATCTAGGATTTCCAAGGAATCTAATGAGTTGAACAGTCCCTTTGGAATATAGTCCAGGTTGTTTTGCCGAAGGTGAACAATCGTGACATTTTTCAGGTCTTTAAATAGTTTTTGTTCAATAATCTTTAACTTGTTCGAACGAAGATAGACTTGCCGTAATGAGGTCAACCCTCGAAACAGATCTTGAGGTAAGGACACTAAATTATTTCTGCTGAGGTCAATCCTCTGAATTCCTCGTAATTTGCGAAAACATAGCGGCCCAATAGTCTGTAAGCCATTTCCTCGCAGGCTTAACACATGCAACAATCCGCTAAACTCGTGAGACGTTAGGTCAACAATGTTATTGTAATCCAAACGCAATACACGAACGTAAAGGTTACCTTGAACATGGGTCGACGTTACAGTATGGAAACGATCAGCTGTCCTTCTCAACCCACGTTGGTACTCCAGGGTAGAGTCGCTCCAAGGAAATTCTGGTGGTTTCGTCAAATTGCATTCTACCAAGAGAAGACTTTGAAGCAATGGCATGGTAGTCCTCCATTGTTCCGGGATTCCTTTCAGCGGTACTCGCTCAAAGTTAACTTCAGCCATTTCCCACCAGACATTGTTTAAGTCGGAAAACATGGCGGGTATGTTTGCTGGAAAACTGTCTTGGACCACCAAGGATGATAGCTTTTTCATGTCGTTTGTGAAACTGTCATTTCCATGAGTTACGTTTCTAGAGCCGGATGCAGCCAACCATTTTACCTTTGTTCCTTTCAGACCCAGAAGTCGTAAGTCGGTTGCTTTTGCAAAGACAGCGAGATTTTGTACCGACGCTTTGCACTCACCTCTAAGTGTGAGGGCCAGTACAATGTTTTTTTTCTCCATGTTGTGCGGGTTAATGAAATCGAGCTCAAATGGCGATAGGCACCAAAACACGACACTGACGTAGATTAAATTATAGTTATTTATGTCCGTTGTAGCGTTAAAAGCCCAGCTGATATCAAAATTGAATTTCACTAATTCATTCTCCAGGTGACTAAGCTTACAGTACACCATCCTCAATTGAACCGTGTCTCCTTCTTTTGTTTCCAAATCTGTTGATATCTTGGCCAACGACGAACATGTCTCATTTATGTATTTGAAACTCGAAATCGTCAGTGAATGAACTAACACGACTAACAACACAGAACGATATTCAACCATGGTCCACAGTAAACCCACTGTTATGTACCTCAAGGTTTTGCTGTAATTTTGCCGTTCCTGTGTGGATAACGTTGATCAAAGCAATCGTCAATCTGTCGGCGGAACACGTGGAGTTGATCAGCAGTTCCAAGCTGCTGCGCTACTTTACGTGGTCAATGAATTGGTTCTTAATGGAGCTACAGGTCAAACTGAAGTATTGCTTTTGCTAGACGAAGGCTGTCACCCTTCACCAGCAGCGTGTAGCACTATTCACCACCAGCCTGGTGATTTTAAAGTTAAAGAGCTTTCTGCCTGAAAACAGGAAGCATTTTTGAGTGACTTCGCCCCACCTTTCTCCCATGAGTAATAAGCTATATTTAGTTTCGACTTCCTGTAGACCGATGAAATTCAGTTCTCGTAGTACAAAGGCTTTTGTCTTTTGTTTCGGCCCTTAACTTAATGTACTTCATTCGAACCTGTGTCCAGGATTATAATGGACCATGAGCAGGCATTGAAACGTGATTATTTTTATTCCACAGCATCCTGCCGCGATTGTAATCTCTGAAAAGTTTACACATTCTATTCATTTTGTTGTAATTTTGGTGTTCCTGTGTGGATAACGTTGATTAGAGTAAAGGTCAATCTGTCGGCGGAACACGTGGAGTTGATCAGCAGTTCCAGGCTGCAGCGCTATTTTACGTGGTCAATGTATTGGTTCTCAATGGAGCTAAAGGTTAAACCGAAGTATTACTTTTGCTAGGTGAAGGCTGTCACCCTTCACTAGCAGCGCGTAGCACTATTCACCCCCTGCTTAGTGATTTTAAAGTGAAAGAGCTTTCTGCCTGAAAACAGGAAGCATTTTTGAGTGACTTCACCACACCTTTTTCCCATGAGTAATAGGCTATATTTAGTTTCGACTTCCTGTAGACATATGAAATTCAGTTCTCGTTCAATGGCTTTTGTCTTATGTTTCGGTCCTCAATGTGTTTCATTCGAACCTGTCTCCTGGATTATAATGGACCATGAGCAGGAATTAAAGTAGGCTTATTTTTATTTAAAAACATCCTGCCGCGATTGTAGTCTCCGAAAAGTTTACAGATTCTGTTCAAACTTTCCTTTGCTGTTACTAAAAAAACCGTTTTCATGGAGTCATCCCATCATCGAAGCTTTTTTGCAGTAAAAATGAAAATTGGAGTATGCTGGACGCTTCCAATTTTCTGTCCATTGGTCAGGGAAAGTGTTATGTCGCGCATTCGAAATATTCAGTAAACCCAGATAATTTTTCAAATTACAGATTCGTATTTTATGTCTTAATGGCACAATTCTCCTTTCGCCTAGCCAACGCATTGATCCTTCAATCCAAACAGGTAAAGAAATGACCGATTTGTCCTTCCGGCTCTCATGTAAAGTTCGACGTTTGAACGGACCTAAGAATATACTGTGGATTTTAAGACCTTTTGAGCGAAGCATTTGGAAAAAAATCACAATATTTTTAAAGATTCATAAACCGTGATATTGATGCGAAAACAGTCAGCATGGAATGTGTAGGGAATATTTCTAAAGAACCCATTCCAGACTTTGATGTTCCTCTTATCAAGAACCACGAAGTATTCAAAACTCTAGTTACAGATGTGATGGTAAAGGTAGGATGGCGCTGTAGCCGTGAAGATGCCGAGTGTCTTGTTATATTGTATGTGACCAAACTTCGGCTTATGTAGGAGAAGTGCAAGGCAAACCTGTTGTTCGAATCATGATGACAAAATACGACGACAGCTTTGCATTCGTCGGGGTATACATTGTAGACGAAGAATATACAGCAAAACGTTATGGTAGAAAGATGTTTAATACCGCGCTGTCAAATCTGACGCCGTCATGCACCATCGGACTGATATCAAAAGGGAAAAAATATACGATAGGAGCGGCTTTCAAACTCAATTTTACGGAGCACGATTTGACTTTCATCTTCCAACAGTCATAACTTGCTTGTCTGAAACATCAGAGGGAATGAACGCAGAAATAAATCGCATCGATGAAGTAGACCAAAGAGCTTTAGTCGTGTACGACACAAGCGTGTTTGGCTTTGAACGCCACGCTTTCTTGTCAAAATGGCTTCGCGTGACAGGTAGTCACGCACCTACGAGTGGCCGTGGACGTTGAGTTTGATGGTTGGTTATACAGTTGTAAGACTTACCTACAAACATGGTTACAAGCTTGGACCCCTCTCTGCGGATTCTGTAGCAATTGCAGAGAAGCTGTTGGAGTCTTTGTTTGAAGAACTTATTCATTAGAGAGTCCTCCTCCAGTTGTCTGTTTTGATGCGATCACAAAGACGAAGTTGGAGAAAAACTGCGCGCAAAGAAGGTCGGTGAGCTTGTGTATATAGTTACGAAGCAACTTCCAAATGCATGTTATGGTGGGCGACCGCTTAATACAAGTACACAGAGTTGGAGTTTCATGAAAATACATTAAACATGGACTAAATTTACTTGAAAGATTTTCCTTGGTTTCATTTGGATGATTCTGTTTTAAGTGATCGTTCAATGCAGGTGGAAGGCAATAAAAACACACCACTGGGAAAAGTTGGTGGGGTAGAAATGTAACCCACAATGGAGACCTCACGGTTGACGGTCACATATTCGTGACACATGATGAGCGGAGCCATTTCGGTAAGAGTGCGTGACGTTCGAAGCCGAATACATTCGTGTCGTACAGGAATAAATCCTCAAGTTCTACGTCGTCTATAGCTGACTTCTGAGACAATTTTCTCCAGTATTTCAGGGAAACAGGCTATGGCTGTTGGGAAATGGAAGTTATTGCGCGCCGCATAAAAGTGACTTCGAAATCCGCTTCTTTCGTACATTTTCTCAAGGTGAAGCAAAGCATATAATAATAATAATGATAATAATAGGACATCTGTAATGCGCAAATTCCATAAAATGTTCAAATGCGCATGACAAGATTAAAAAGAAATAAAAAGGCTAAAGAGCCAAAATTACAATTAGGAGTAAACTTACAATACTTTAAAAAGCTAAACAACTATGATAACAATGCATGACTGAAAAGGTGAGGTTTTAGCTTGGCTTTAAAAATACTAACTGTGCTGGCGCTTCGATCCGATGTTGCTGGTTGGCTTCACACTTAACATTGCGGCATTGAAGATCTTCAGACCGTATCCCTTTCCTCTACATTCCTTGACCACCAGATAAGCTCCAATGATAGCAAAGCTATCGCCATATTTTGAAATTCTAACAATGGCTACGGGTTTCCCGTTCAGTTCACCAACGAAAGCTACCGGAGGATCACAAGCGAGAAAACACTCAGCGTCCTTTAAGCCCGGCCGCCAGCCTTCCTTCGCCATTGGTTCGATTGCAAACCTTTGCATTTCTTCTTCAGTCATGATCAGGCGAATCTTGAACGATTCATGCTAATCTGTCGCCAGCTTACGGTCGACGAAGGACTCAATCTTGATACAAAAGTCAAGATAGACATTGTAGCTGTGTAACCAATCATTTTTATGGCAATCACTTTTTTGCACGTCACGCAGGTCACGTTATGAACCTTGTTATAAATTTGAATGATACGTATGTAAACGCGTGACGTGTCAACAACAAGAGATGATCTCTGTCTTAATAAAGGCGGGAACGAGATTTATTGCGAATGAAAAATATTTTAAATAGGTGACTTAGATAATG